GCAAACCATTTAATATATCAGTCTTAAATTTATACGCCCAAAGTCTAAAATACATCAGGTAACATGGAGGTCACCAGATCAGAAAACATATAGTCAAATTGATCACATAATATTTATTAAACGAAAACAATCGTCAATAAAAGATGTAAGAACGTTCAGAGGTGCGTGTGCAGATTCAGACCACTACATGGTCACAGCCACTATAGGACAAAAAGTTAAAATTGAAAGAACAACAAAAAACCAACATAAAAAGTGGAATGTCAATAAATTGAGTAATGAAGAAGTAAGAAAAAAATATGAAGAGGTAGTAACAGTTCAAATAAAAGAGAAATATAAAGCAGAAGACATAAGCACAGAATGGGAGAGAATAAAAAAATCAATAGAAGAAGGTGCAAATATGCAGATAGGTAAAAGTAAGGCTAAAACAAAAAACGGATGGTATAACCAAGAATGTAGAGAAATAACAGGAAAAAGTGCAAGCCAGAAATAAATGGCTAAGAACAGATAAAGAGGAAGACAGAGAAGAATATGAAAAATTAAGAAGAAATGCTAAGAGTGTGATAAGGCAAAATAAACGGAGTAAAAAATAGAGAGGGAATAGTGATAATAGAGGACCAAGAATACAAGCAAGTATGGAGAGATTACTACAGAGAGCTCTTGACGGAGAAAACAACAGAAGAAGAAATGCATAACGAGGAGGAAACAGTACACGAAGAAGAAGCAGATGAAGTAGATGAAGTAGACATCGAAATTTCAAAAGAACCAACATTAGAGGAATTGGATGAAGTAATACAGACAAGCAAAAATGGAAAAGCCCCTGGTAAAGATGGAATTAATATGGAACTAATAAAATACGGGGGAAGGGAACTAAGAGGAAAAATACTGGCACTATTGAAAAATATATGGAAAGAAGAGAAAATTCCAGAGGACTGGGAGGTAGGGCAGATCATAACAGTACCTAAAAAGGGAGACCAACAAATCTGTGAAAATTACAGAGGAATAACATTACTAAATACAACATATAAAATATTGACATCAATAATAAAAAAGAGGTTATCAAAGATCACAAAGAAGACAGTAGGACAGAACCAGATTCACAGAAGGAAGATCTACAATAGATGCAATACACACAATAAAACAAATAATGGAAAAAGCAAACGAGTATAAATTAGAATTGGAAATGTTATTCATAGACTTCAAACAGGCATTTGATTCAAATAAAAGGAACGTATTAATGATAGCACTTAAAAAATTAAAAATTCCACAAAAACTCAGAAAATTAATAGAAATGACAATGAGAACTACAAAAATAAGCATAAACAACTACGTAAAGAAGAAAAGGAAATTCACCGAAGAAAGAAGAGAGAATATATCAACAAAGAACTTCAAGGACTACAAGAACTAAGTAAACCAACAGAGACAAGAAAATTTTACCAGAAACTCAACAAAAGCAGAAAAGAGTTCAAACCGAGAACAACGATGTGTAAAGATAAGGAGGGTAATATATTGACAGAACAGAAAGAGATACTTAGAAGATGGACAGAACATTTTAAGGAAAAGCTTGGGGTGAATAGGACGGAGATGAACCCTGATATACCGTTAGACCAAGCAGACAACAGAGAAAAGAGTCCACCAACAATAGCAGAGATTAGAACAGCAGTGGACAAATTAAAGAACAATAAATCACCGGGATTGGATCAAATATCATCGGAGCTACTGAAAGAGGGAGGAGACGCATTACTTAAAGCCATACATGAGCTGATAAGAAAGATATGGTTGAATAAACAGCTACCAAAGGAGTGGAATAGCGGCATTATTGTACCACTACATAAAAAAGGAAACCAGTTAGAATGTGAAAACTACCGTGGAATCACGCTGTTGAATGCGGCATACAAAATAATGTCCAACGTAATGTATGAAAGACTTAGACCATACGCTGAAAAAATAGTTGGCAAATACCAATGTGGCTTCTATAGACAGAAGTCAACAATAGACCAGATATTTGTTCTGCGACAGATACTTGAAAAAACAAGTGAATATAACATCGACACACATCATCTCTTCATAGACTTCGAAAGCGCATATGACAATATAAACCGAGAATTCCTAATAAAAGCAATGAAAGAATTTAATATACCAACACAGCTAATAGAATTGATAAAAGAAACACTAAAAGTAGAAAGTAAAATCCGGATACAAAACGAATTAACGGAAACAATAGATGTGAAGAAGGGACTACGCCAAGGAGACGCTCTATCATGCATATTATTTAACATCATACTTGAAAAAATAATAAGAGACACAACAGTTAATACCCGAGGAACAATAATTAATAAAAGCGTGCAAGTACTAGCATTTGCAGATGATGTTGATATAATCGCAAGATCAAGAAGAGAAATGATAGAGGCATTCACTCAAATAGAACGAGCTGCAAAAAATAGTGGTCTTAAAATCAATCAGACAAAAACAAAATATATGCCTGCAAATAAAAACGCACAAATAAGGCAGCTGCCAAATTTAACAATAGGAGAATACAACATTGAGGCGGTAAAAAACTTTACATACTTAGGATCCCTAGTTACGTCTGATAACAACGTTGCAGAGGAAGTGAAGAGGAGAATATTTATTGCCAATAAATGTTACCATGGCTTAATTAGGCAACTAAGATCAGATAACGTCTCCAGAAAAACAAAATGCCAAATATACAAAACCTTAATAAGACCGGTACTCACATACGGTTCAGAAACCTGGACACTCTCTAAAAGGGAGGAAACGTTATTAGCCACCTTTGAAAGAAAAATCTTGCGACACATATATAAGGGCACAAAAGAAAACGGGATTTGGCGGAGAAGGTATAACTTTGAACTATACAACATATACCAGGATCCGGATATCATAACATTCATTAAAATAGGAAGGCTACGTTGGATTGGACATGTGGAAAGAATGGAAGAAGGCGAAATACCAAACAAAATATTCAAACAAGTGCCAGTAGGAAAAAGAACAAGAGGAAGACCGAAGCTGAGATACGTAGAACAAATAGAAAATGATATAACAACATTAAAAATTAAAAACTGGAAAAAAAAAGCACGAAACAGGTCAGAATGGAGAAGAATCCTTGAACAGGCCAAGACCCAAAAAGGGTTGTCGAGCCAGTGATGATGATGATGATTGAAAAATATATGGAAAGAAGAGAAAATTCCAGAGGACTGGGAGGTAGGGCAGATCATAACAGTACCTAAAAAGGGAGACCAACAAATCTGTGAAAATTACAGAGGAATAACATTACTAAATACAACATATAAAATATTGACATCAATAATAAAAAAGAGGTTATCAAAGATCACAAAGAAGACAGTAGGACAGAACCAGATTCACAGAAGGAAGATCTACAATAGATGCAATACACACAATAAAACAAATAATGGAAAAAGCAAACGAGTATAAATTAGAATTGGAAATGTTATTCATAGACTTCAAACAGGCATTTGATTCAAATAAAAGGAACGTATTAATGATAGCACTTAAAAAATTAAAAATTCCACAAAAACTCAGAAAATTAATAGAAATGACAATGAGAACTACAAAAATAAGCATAAAGACACAAAGAGGAGAGACAGAGGAATTCACTATAAATAAAGGGATGAAACAAGGAGATGCCTTATCAACAACGCTATTTAATCTAGCATTAGAATATGTACTGCGAAATATAAATAAAAGAAATCTCAGAACAAGAGGTGGTTAAATAATTGCATATGCAGACGATATTGCTATTATTGCAAAGAACAGAAAAATAATGAAAGAAATGCTTGAAGAAATAAGAGAGAAAGGGGAGGTAATGGGGCTAAGAATAAATCAAGAAAAGACAAAAATATTAAGATTAGGGAAAAAACCAATGAAAGAAAAAATTAAAATAGGAAGTTCTGAGTTTGAAGAAGTATAATACTTCAAATACCTAGGAGTTACAATAAGTAAATCCGGAGAAAGGAAATTCAAAATAAAAGAAAAAATATTAGCGGCGAATAAAGCTTATTTTGCAAACAAAAAATTACTTCAAAGCAAAATACTGACTAAAAAAAGTAAGATGAGCATTTATAACACCATAATTAGACCAATATTATTATATGCAGGAGAAACAATGACGATGGTTAAAAAAGATGAAGAAGACTTGGGAATAGCAGAGAGAAAGATTATAAAAACCATACTAGGACCAATCAGAACAGAGCAAAATGAATATAGAAGCAGAACAAATGCAGAAATTAAGAAAGAGCTTAAGGAAGACATCGTAACTAAAATAAAGCAATGCAGAGTTAGATGGTTAGGTCACATTTGGCGAGCAGGCGATGAGGCAGTGACATACGCAATGATAGAATGGAATCCAGGAGGAAGAAATAGAAGGGGAAGACCGAGATCAAAGTGGCTGCAAGAAGTTGAAGAAGACCTACAAAGGGCCGGAGTCAGAGAATGGAGAGGAAGAACTAGAGATAGGAAAAAATGGAAAGATATTGTCAAGAAGATAAGATAAACAAAAATGACTGGTCCACTTAAGAAATAGGATCTAGAAAGCATTTGCGGTTTAACCCCACACTGGGGTGTATAACCATTATTTATATATATATATATATATATATATATATATATATATATATATTCAATATATTTCAATTTTCACTTCGGAAATCGTTCTCAAAATACAAACATTAGTAAATTAAACAAAAGTTGTTTTTTTACTTGGTGAAAAATTCTTCTAATAATTTAATTTTATCTGACTCTTATATTGACAATTCAGACATACATTATACATTTTAAAGTAGACGACTTTAAAATGATGACTTTTCTTTTAATAACTTTCTCTTTTAATATGGGTAACCAGATCCTACTACATTCTGCCGAGGAATTTGCGACACAATTATTGATACCACATTCGTGGGGGATAGGCAAAGATAATTTTGCAATTTATTTGTACTTTTACATTGTATAGTCCAGAAAAAGGAAATAAAATGCAAAGAAGAAACAACAGAAGACAAAAGGAGACCGAAGAATGTTATAGCGAGGAAGAAAAAGAAAATATAGACAAAGAAAATAGTATTGCAGAAAGAACAATCAAAGAGAGTAGCACAGAAATGTCGACAATCGACAGAATATTACAAATGCTGCAAATACAAGAAGAGAACAGTAGAAAACAGACAGAAAAAATTAATAAAAAAATAAATGATAACATTCAAAGAGAGGAAGAAAACATTAAGAGACGGGAAAAAAACAGTAAAAGACAAGTAGAAGGAACAGAAAAACGTATAGAAGAAAACAGTAAACGACAAGCAGAAAGAACAGAAAAACGTATAAACGAAAACATTAAGCGACAAGTCTAGGTTCTAAACAAATGGAACAGAAACGAGAACAGCATAAAGAGGGGTTACAAATGCATTTACAACAGGTGAAGTATAAAGTAGAGCAGAAAACGAAGGAAATTAGCCAAAATTTAGAAAAATAGAGAAAAAATAGAAATTTAGAGGCGAGGAAATAGAGGATAAATTGGAAAAATTAGATAAGAAATTATTGGAAGTAAAAACACAACATAATACTGGAGAAAGAAGACAAGTGATTATACAAGGTGGAGTAGAAAGTAAGGTCAAATTTGGTGGGGATATAAAGAATCAACATCCAGTTCCGTTTATTAGGATGCTGAAAAATAAAAAACAAGGATACGGAAATTTTGAAGAGGCTAAGGATATGATAAGGAATCATTTTAAGAAAGGCGAAGCATTATGGTTCGAGAATAAGCAACATGAGTAACAAGATTGAGAAGATTTTGAAATTAAATTTTTGGGGTATTATTGGGGAAAAGAAAAACAGATGGTCGTCGAGAGTGACCTACAAAATGGGAAATATGATGAAAAACTAGGAATATGATGAAAAACTAGGAATATTCGAAGAGAGATATGCATTACAAGTATACATCAGTGGGCAATATTTAAATTATAATTATTCGGAAGAACAGATAGTTGAATTAATAGCAAGACATTTTGACAATACAATGGAAGACTATATCACCTTGCAAGGATATAGAGAAATGGACAGTTTATGCCAGGATACATCGTTTATTGTTCTGCCAGAAAGTCTATTTTAAAATCTCTAATTCATAATTATGGTCTAAGAATCGCACTACGAGTATTTAGAAGTACACTTATTGAGAGCATATACGCTGAACTTGGTGAGCCATCCCTTTACCACAGGCGAATGCAACTAACATTAACACACACATCCTCGGTATACTGTTATCCAGAAAAACATATTTACAGTATCACCTTCACAGATAAATATAACGGAACTTTTTAATTATAATGATAAACTAAGAAAATCATACTATGAAAGAATTAGAACATATTGCAAGAAATTAAACTTTCATTTTCCTGACATATTCGATCCAAACATTACCGATCTTCATATCCCTTGGTCAATCAGTCAACCAATATTCCACAGTGAGCAAATATAATATGTCGGAAATGCGTCTCTCAGATATAAAAATTATTTAGTAAAATAAACTCCAAAATGAAAATTTCTCTAAAATATTCACAGATGCTTCTAAATCTAGCAATGGAGTTGGTGCCGCTTTTGTGATCAATTCAAGTAAATATCTATTTCAACTATCTCCCCATTGTACTCTTTATCGAGCAATTAAGTTTGTTAATGATACCAACATCGTCAAAGCGGTGATTCTTTCTGATTCTCTGAGTTCGATTACTTCAATTCAACGAGTATATCCTAAACACCTAATTGAAAAAATGATCAAATCAGAACTTCACACATGTCAAGAAAAAGGAAGAACAGACTTCATATGGATTCCTTCTCATGTGGATATCCCCGGATATAAAGTAGCAGACTTAAGTGCGCGTAGTGCAGTGTCTAGTGCGGACTCAGAAATAATATTAAATTGCGGTCCAGAAGACATAAAGCTTTCTATTAAGGCAAAAATCTTAGAAGTCCGGCATAACGAATGGCAAATATCAACGTCTAAACTACGACAAATTAAAGACACAGTTAAAGGAACTAAACCTTTTTACAAAAATTACCATGAACAGAGTGTAGTTAACCGATTACAATTAGGCCATATACACTCTTATCTTTTTTCAAAATGTAATCCACCAATAGGCGAGCGCTGCAATTCAACTTTACAGTAAAGCATAATACATAATATAGACTCAAATTTATCAGTTGTGTTAGGTCAAAATAGTTATTCAAAGAACTTAATAGATTATTTAAAAGCTATCGATGTGTTATATAAGATTTAACTTTTTTTTTGTATAAAATTGCTGACTTTTTTTAATAATATTTTGTAGGAAAAAAATCTTTTTTGTAACCATTGTAAAATTGTACAGTTAAGTCGCTAATAACCATTAGGTGAATGTGACTTTGTCTTTAAGTCAAAAAAAAAAACAAATTAATTATTGTTGACATAGAGACGAAATCAAAAATCGGTGCAGAAGTTAGAACATAAAAATATTCAAATGCTCAACAAAAAAAGGGAAATATTGAGTGTTTATGTAAACAAAATTGAAGCAGCAGTTAGAAGAAGGGAATAAACGCCAAAATATAGCGAAACGACGTTTTAACAAAAATATACCTTTTAAAGCAAGACCCGTCTGTCCGTGCTAATTAGGAAATAAACACCGTGAAGTCACGGAGATATTCCAACACGAAATGTGCGACAGTTTTAAAAAGGAAATAAATCACGTAATTATTTCTTTCTTCAAACTTACATGTGTGATTCTACTAAGTGTATACAGTGGACGTCCAAAAAATTAACAGGATACTTTTTTTAAGAGCCTCATAAATTGCTCGAAAGGTAATCCCAAAAGGCGTGACAATACTTTTCGTTATTTTATCCGAATAAATTCTGCAAGAGTTGAGGTATACAATACGCAAGCTTTTTTAATCTTATTGTATGCTATAAAAAATAAAGTAACTTTTCGACTGACCTCTCTTATGCCGAAGGAAAATTACTGGCGGATCACCCTGGTATTCATTTAAATCATGGTAACAATTTATATAACATTGTAGTTCTTGCGATCGATCATCACATTCGATCATTTTCGTTAAAACAGTATAATTACAGCACCAGATTAATTCAATATTTGGATGCTAACCTCAATGTGAAGATAATACATGGACTATTTTGCAAAAAGTAACCTGAACATGCCAACATTGTTAAATACGATTTTTTAGAAAATACTATATTGATAACCATGGCTACAGATTTGGAAGACCACAGGTTGACGTTTGTTCAACTTGTAAAGACCTTGAGGCTAAAAAGCGTGTAGCAGTTGCAGAAAAGATGGTACATCTGAGACGAGCTAAAACGTTTTACTTAAAGCAGCAAGAAGTATTAAGATTATGTCTAGGAAAGGAAAATGTCGAAGCTATTTGTGGGGGTTTAACAAAATAATGTACTATTTCGAATTAATAGTACTAAGATTAATACCAGCTATTCCTTCGATAGCTCTGGCAAGATAAATGAACTTTCACTCATAGGTGCAAATAACAAATAATATAAAATTTAAATGGTTGCAAAAACAATCAAAAAACAAACAAAGGTATTAAACTAGGTGAACTTACCGAACCGCTAATTAGGTACCATAATTCACTACTATAAAACCAACCGATTTCGATGCATCGACGCACTCGCGAGGGTTGTGTCTTGCGTCTATTCTGCTCAACGACTTAAGCGCTTGTGTCCTACGGGATGCATAGCATACCCGAACGGTACGAATAGGGATCGAAGGTATACAGGGGGAGGACAAAATGTCTTGATTAATTTATACAACCATATTTGAATTTAAACATTCTCCCCCCTTTAAAGGCCATAAGGTCTTTAAAAAACAAAACGAATTCTAAATACTATCATTACTTAAACAATCAAAACGATAATTACTACAAACAATTCCTATACAAATATTAAACAAATATTCAAAACTTAAACTAAAAAATAAAAAAATTAAAATTAAAATGGTGGTTTTGTCGTGGTTCTATTCATAAAAGCCGAACAAAACAAAATCAGTAAAAAAAATGCTGACCATTTAATCTTCATCTATCGGCACGGGACAGATTCGGACAAGAGGCCGTTTTAAGGTTCCGGTAATCGTACGCACGGTAGCCACTCGAGCTACACCGTCTTTACCCTCATGTAATTCAACAAGACGCGCGAGAGGCCACTTACACGGAGCCAAATTATCCTCCTTTAAAACAACTAAGGTGCCGATTTTAGGTACAAAACTAGGATCTAACCATTTACACTTTTGTTGCAAGGTGTGCAAATATTCCTTTCGCCATCGAGCCCAAAAGTCTCTATGGATGCGCTGTAACAACTGCCATCTGGACAAACGATTGAAGGATACCTCCGAAAAATCAGGCACAGACAAAGATGTCAAGGGTTCAAGAGTCAGGAAATGTCCTGGGGTCAAAGCATTGAGATCTTCAACATCATTGGTTAAAGGGGTGAGAGGGCGTGAATTTAAGACGGATTCAATTAACGTCAAAACGGTATAAAATTCTTCGTAAGTCAAAATTTGTGCCCCGACTATACGACCAATATGTTCCTTTACAGAACGAATTCCGCGTTCATAAATACCGCCAAAATGTGGAGCAGCAGGAGGAGCAAATGAAAACTTAATATTTTCCTTATCGAGAGCGCTCTCCATAAAGCTACTAAGCTGTCGATAAGCACTGTGGAAATTAGTGCCATTATCACAAAATACTTGCGATACTCGACCTCTCCGAGCGACAAAACGTTGTAAAGCGGCCAAAAAGGCTTCCGCGGTCAAATCACTAGCTAATTCCAGATGTAAAGCCTTTGTAGCGCAACATACAAATAAACACAAATAGGCCTTTTGAGTTCTAACTCCCCTGTAACGAGACATGGTTATCGAAAACGGTCCACCATAATCTAACCCACAAATCGAAAAGGGTTTAATGGCACCGAGACGAAATTTAGGCAAATTACCCATAGGGGGTTGTAAGTTTTTGGGAGATTGTTTCCAACATCTAATACATTTGGACAATACTGAATTAATGGCTTGTTTAGAAGACAGTATCCAAAACCTTTGACTAATCAAAAATTGAGTACTCTTAAATCCAGCATGTAAATACTTCTCATGATAATAACGAACTAGAAGAGTAGTAAGGCGAGATTTCTTTGGTAACAAAAACGGGTGTTTTGCTTCATACGATAACGAAGACTGAGATAGACGACCACCTACTCTTAAACACTGAGTGCTATCATCCAAAAATACTCCCAACTTACGAAATGGTTTAGGAAAAGAGTTTGATTGAAGATGTTCTTCAAAATACTTTTCCTGTGTAAATCTGACAAGAA